TTACTGAGGGTTATAATCCCTAAGTGCGGCCAAAGGCCGCCTATACAGAAAGGTTTCTCTGCAAAAGGTGTTCAGCCCCCCTTCTTTGGCAGCACAGAAAGAAGAATTCTACTGCCTGAGGGTTATAATCCCTAAGTGCGGTCTAAGGCCGCCTACGCAGAAAGGAATTATACGCGAAAATACATTTGTTAAAAAAAAAAATTTTTTATAAAACCTTGTTTTGGTAATTCTCTAGTATAGGGTAACAACTCCTTAAAAAGATCCGGAAAATTCGGGAGGGTACTAAACGACGCGTTTCGGTCCCCCTAGTAACAATCTGGAGGGGGAGGGCTAATATTATTAACCATTTAAAAGTTATAAACAAAAAACTATTGTTAAGTTTCGTTGTTTTCTATGATCAATTACCACGTCAAAATGCTCTAAATCACCAGTTTCAACTATTAAAATGTCTCCGGTTATTATTTTACGCAAACAAAATCATTTATTCACTTTTATTTTATATATTTCGTTAATAAAACAGAGTAAACAAACTTTGCGCCACCCAAAATTATTATAACCTCAAATCGTTGGTATTGCCACTTTATTTAACATTTCATTTGCGCTATTACACTCCGTTTACCCTATACACTTCCTCTTTTTTACTTTCACCTAAATAAAATATTCTAACCAAAATATAATAGCATATTTCGCTATACCATGGCAGCGCTACTTTTATGGTTTACAGTTATTTATCGAAGTATTGATCTTAATGGAAAAAATTATAATTTAAAAAACTAAAACCTCGCTATTATAATTTCCATTCGTAATGTTATCAGGTATGTGACTTGAGAATAGAAATCGCTGCATCTTTTAGGCGCATCAATATTACATAGTTACATCCCGAGCTAATAAAAGGGAGGTAAAAAGCGCCGCAGGCGAAAATTTTCATTATTTAAATATATATGAAACAAGATACCGAAAAGCATTGAACACTGCACACACCTTGTAAGGAAAAGTGAATTATTACGAAATACTAATACAGTGGCAGCACTATAGCAAAGATTGTCAACTTCATTTTAGTAACAAAATAATCTACCTTAGGTTGATAAAATTATGTGTTTGTTTAATAATTAAGTTAAATTATATATATTAATAGCGTTTAAAAAGTGAGAACAGGTGATTTAGAGAATTTTTGTCATGGTTATTACCCATACAAAACAACGAAATTTAACAAGTTTTTTGTTTATAACATTTCAATGATCAATATTAGTCCTCCCCCTCCGGATTGTTAATAGGGGGACCGAAACGCGGCGTTTGGTACCCCTCCCGACTTTTCCGGACCTTTTTTAGGGGTTGTTACCCTATACTAGAGAATAACCAATGGTTAATATTAGCCCTCCCCCTCCGGATTGTTAATAGGGAGACCGAAACGCGTCGTTTGGTACCCCTCCCAACTTTTCCGGATCTGTTTTAGGGGTTGTTACCCTATACTAGAGAATTACCTTTATTTTTTCTATTTTTAATTAACTTTTTTTCTTTATTCAAAATCGCCCGATATCTAATTTAGCATAATTTCTTTTATTAAAAAATCCCACGGTTTCTGTTAGTTGGGTCATTTTCCACTTCAAACTGCTCAGTTTGCATAAGAAAATTACGTTTTTCCCCCGTTTTCAAACGGTTCCCTAGGGGCCGGTGAGAGGAGCCCAAGGGGGGTTCGCCTTTTTAGAAAGCGGGGACTGTACCCTTTCAAGTAGGGGAGGATTTGCGGGCCCCGCCTCCCACCACAAAAACATTTCCCTATTATATATACATAGATATATATATCGAATGAAAGACCCTTCAATCACCTTTCCAACTGTGTCCATATTTGCAAATCGGTTAAAAAAAAAAATGCCGTTAAAATCCGGAAAAGGGGGCGGCCACGCCCACTTTTTGGCATAAATGCACTTGGGCTCCAAATCCCAAATTAAAAAAAAAAATATTGGAATCGATAGAGATGATTGAGCTGAGTATAATGGTATACTTCTTTTTTTGGGCAAACAACAACAACAACAATTATCAAAGGTTAAAGTTCAAAATAAGCAATTTTTGAAATCATGATTTCTTAAAAACGGATGGATGGATCTTGAAAATTTTGATAGGAAATTTGATTCCCTTTAATTTGGTATACGTACATTATATATATGTTGTACAGTTCTTACAACAAATTGTTTTTTTTGTTTTTGATATATATAAATAAATAGGTATAGGTAAGTATACATAGGTATTGTTATTTTAGGTACAAATTAGTTAATTTATTTATATATCTGGCAACTATTCGTATTATTTTAATATATAACTGGAAAGAANGAGCTGAGTATAATAGTATACTTCTTTTTTTGGGCAAACAACAACAACAACAATTATCAAAGGTTAAAGTTCAAAATAAGCAATTTTTGAAATCATGATTTCTTAAAAACGGATGGATGGATCTTGAAAATGTTGATCTCATTTAATAGGAAATTTGATTCCCTTTAATTTGGTATACGTACATTATATATATGTTGTACAGTTCTTACAACAAATTGTTTTTTTTGTTTTTGATATATATAAATAAATAGGTATAGGTAAGTATACATAGGTATTGTTATTTTAGGTACAAATTAGTTAATTTATTTATATATCTGGCAACTATTCGTATTATTTTAATATATAACTGGAAAGAAACCGTTATTTTTAAGCGGTATGCTTTATGTTAATATTTAAGCTTTTGGAATAACGTGCTATTTGACAAGTGTTAATTTAAAATGGCAAATTTAAATTTAATAAAGCTATACGATTTATTTGATTGCAAGATCGACGGTCCGCTCAATGAGGGGACTCTACAATCCTTACAGGAATGGGGACTGATACCGCGGGAGGGAACATATTTGTGTCCCGAAGGACATCCGTTGAAACTTAAACAATGTGCACAAAGTGTTGACGGTTATGTTTGGAGGTTAGTTTTTGCTTTTTAAAGATTGTGGTTGTGAAAATTAAGTTTGTTAAATTTTGAACTAATAGGTGTACTACAGCGATTAAGGGAAAGAAGAAAAATGTTAGATGCGATGTCTACATTTCTTTGAGGAAAGACACTTTTTTCGCGAAATCGAGGCTTTCTATTTTTAAAATAGTAGCTTTCGCTTATTTGTGGGTCAAGAACCTTACGTTGGATGTCATTATGGAAGAGCTCAGCATATCCAATCATACGGCTAGTGATTGGAGTAGTTTTTGTCGCGAGGTTGTGTATGATGGGATGGTTGTTAATAAAAACAAAATTGGAGGTCTGGGAAAAGTTGTCGAAATCGATGAGAGTAAGTTTGGGCGACGAAAGTACCACCGTGGGCATCGTGTGGAAGGACAATGGGTCTTTGGTGGAGTAGAGAGGGAAACCAATCGATGCTTTTTGGTCCCTGTGGAGAAGAGGGACAAGGAAACTTTGTTGAAAATTATAAAGGACTGGATTTTGCCCGGTACAATAGTTGTGTCCGACTTTTGGAAAGTATGTTCATTTTGAACTATATTTGCATGTATTTTTTTTTATTATTTTTTAACGGGTATTTAGCTAAGTTTATGTTTAACCGCAATTGTAAAAATTGTGATACGGATCGTTTAAGCACCTTTTTAAAAATGGCAGGGAGATTATACAATCCGTGTAGTATTAAACCTGTTGAAGAGGAAGAACAGGAAGAATATGAAATAGAAATTTCTTTGTAAATAGACTAATGTGTGTTTTACTATTCAAATATTTTAATTTTTTTAGCATCACTGAGAATTCTATTTTGTGAGGGTTATAATCTCAAGTACGGGCGACGCCGCCTACGCTGAAGGGTGTTCTCTGCAAAAGATGTTCAGTGCCTTTTCTTCGCAACACAGAAAGAGAATTCTACTTTGTGAGGGTTATAATCCATAAGTGCGGCCGAAGGCCGCCTACGTAGCAAGGTGTTCTCTGCAAAAGGTGTTCAGTGCCTTTTATTCGCAACACAGAAAGAGNAAAGTATGTTCATTTTGAACTATATTTGCATGTATTTTTTTTTATTATTTGTATATGCTTTCTATTTATCTTTATAGGCATATGATTGCTTAAGTGAGGAGGGGTATATTCACTTTCGAGTCAACCATTCCATCGATTTTAAAGACCCAGATACGGAGCAACACACTAATACGATAGAAGGGTTGTGGCGTCACGTGAAATGCTCGATGCCCCAATATCATCGGAAAAAACTATTTTTTAACGGGTATTTAGCTAAGTTTATGTTTAACCGCAATTGTAAAAATTGTGATACGGATCGTTTAAGCACCTTTTTAAAAATGGCAGGGAGATTATACAATCCGTGTAGTATTAAACCTGTTGAAGAGGAAGAACAGGAAGAATATGAAATAGAAATTTCTTTGTAAATAGACTAATGTGTGTTTTACTATTCAAATATTTTAATTTTTTTAGCAACACTGAGAATTCTATTTTGTGAGGGTTATAATCTCAAGTGCGGGCGACGCCGCCTACGCTGAAGGGTGTTCTCTGCAAAAGATGTTCAGTGCCTTTTCTTCGCAACACAGAAAGAGAATTCTACTTTGTGAGGGTTATAATCCCTAAGTGCGGCCGAAGGCCGCCTACGCAGAAAGGTGTTATCTGCAAAAGGTGTTTTTTTTATAATTATTTTACATTGATTCAATTTTTGTAAGAACTGTACAACATATATATAATGTACGTATACCAAATTAAAGGGAAAAAAATTTCCTATTAAATGAGATAAAAATTTTCAAGATCCATCCATCCATTTTTAAGAAATCTTGGTTTCAAAAATAGCTTTTTTTGAACTTTAACCTTTGATAATTGTTGTTGTTGTTGTTTACCCAAAAAAAGAAGTATACCGTTATACTCAGCTCAATCATCTCTATCGATTCCAATATTTTTATTTTTTTATTTTTGAGATTTGGAGCCCAACTGCATTTGTTCCCTTGTAGCAAACAACGAAATATTAAAAAAAGATAAATATTTTTACCGGCAAAAATAACCGCTGAGACGAGCAAGGCTTAAATAGAGTTCGCCATTCCTTTTGGTTGTGGCTGGGAAAAGTCAACGGCATTACCTCGAAACCAAAGTGTACAAAATTTCGCCAATTATTTAATCGATCTTTCAGTTCACCCATTAGCAAACTCTCGGCGAAAATCCAGAAATGTAAATTACCGCTACTAAACTGGCTAAAAAGGAGAACCGATTTGAGCATGGTAAGAGACTCTTGCAATCTCTGACCACATACAACCAGTGCAATGTTAAAAACTGGAAATGATCTGAAAAAAAAAAATTGTTGTAGACCAATATTTTCCTAAATTCCATGGTTACTAATACCTTTCATTAAAGTGAGAATTATTCAATAAATCTTTATGTACACTAAAAGGGCAACGATGAAAAACAACATAGATCAGCGTTAATAAAAATACAGTAAATACGAAATTTACTAGCTTTAACCGCATTTCTGAAGCCTTGATTAGGGATAAAACGATACTAATAAATACAAGTGCATACTCGGTACTTTTCGCCCGATACCAAGTAATTTTGGTATTGATACTATTGAACCGAGTAGTGAGTAGTTATCGGAAGAAACAACTTATATCGAAACCCGATTCCGAGAATATTTTATTTCCGGACTTTTTTTAATCTAATTATTATTGTGAATATCTAAAAATGTTTGGCAGTTTAGTTGCAATGAAAAATTCCTACAAAGAAAAACCTATAATCATCTCATTAACATATCGCTGGCTTGAAGTGAAAACTTGCTAAGTCCACTTTTGTGAAAACTCATATTTGGATATAGGAAGCAAGCTGAATTAAAAACGCAACGTCTTCAAGTTTATATTCAACTAAAGGCAAATTTACTAAGTCCAAAAGAGGTACAGAAAAAACGATAAGGCTACAAAAAATTCTACATCATTTAATTTTTTGTTTAAGGCTTTAGGAACCAATCAACAGTTCCATTTATGGCTAGGTTTATACACCTTAAATACCCGATTCTTAAAACGTGATATATTCACACGGTGAAATAAAAATAAGGTGATGTCATNAGGAACCAATCAACAGTTCCATTTATGGCTAGGTTTATACACCTTAAATAGCCGATTCTTAAAACGTGATATATTCACACGGTGAAATAAAAATAAGGTGATGTCAGTTGGGGGGTGTTTGTTGTAATTTTGACAAATTCGGTAGCCCCGTTCCTAATGATGCTCTCTTGAACAAAAACTACACTAGAAAAACTCCTTTTAGGTATTGTGCTGAAAACATAAGAGTGAACATCACTGTCCTTGATATTTCTGTTTAGTTGTGACTTTCCCATATAATATTTTTTGCAAAAATTGTGATTTGTGTGTATATTCAACAGCTTTTAATTTTGCGATTTTTTGGAGGTTTTTCGGACTTTGGCAATAAATTTAGGTAACCAATTTTAAGTAGTTATTCCAAGTGGCAAATAAAGACAAATTATGTTTACCTTCCACTGATTTGTGAATTGTGTTTTTTATCTCAGCGAGAAGCTGCGATATACATAAGTGCTGGAAGTTCCAGGTGAGTTTATTCAATTGGCCAGGTTGTTAATAAAACGGTCAGTAAAAGTGCGTTTCTTGTTTAATAGGTTTTGGAAGTTGTGCCTGTTGACCTACTAGAGGCTACAATACAAGTGATTTACAAATAAAATTACGAAAGTCCTTTTATAACACTATGTAACAAGGTTTTTGTCCGTGGGTTGTAATTGTTATTTCCTAGTCAGTTAGGTCCCAAAAGTATAGAAAACAGCTATTGTCGCAAGATAACTTTGCTTTTGTGACCATGGCAGCGCTTATCTGCGTTTATTTTTATGCTTGTTTGTTGAAAACTGATACACGAGCGCATACAACTTGTTTTCTCTACATTTGTGTGTGTTAAAACTAGTGTTGGGCAGTATCGATTCCAAAAGTACTCAGTACTCGATGCTGAAAAGTATCGACAGTACCCGATGCTTAAAAGTATCGATACCAAAGTAGTAAATACACAAAAGTACTCGATACTGCCCAACACTAGTTAAAACAACAAAGTCGTCGCAATAAATTTTGCAACATTTTTGTGATTTATTGAGAGTTGTTTCTTATTTTATTACAGATAAATTCGTTCAAACATGGCTTCACGAGGCTGCAAGTATCCTGCAGATGCATTTTGTTATGTCTGCGGATATTTTATCAAAACAAGAGCGAATAAGTACTCTTTGGAAACAGGTTTTAAAATGTGCGAAGCTTACAATGCTTATTTCGGCATGCCTGTGGGTGATCAAGACAAATCCTGGGCACCTCATTTCGCGTGTGAAAACTGCAAAAGGACTTTGGAAGGTAAGACATTTTAAAACTATTTTGCTTTGTTATGGGTAAAATAAATGTTTCCATTAACTTTTTTATTAGACAGTACTTTTCTTTTCTAATTTTTTTTTTTCAGGATGGTACAGAGTGGAAAAGAGAGCTATGAAGTTTGCTGTGCCAAGAGTTTGGAGAGAACCCACTGACCATTCAAGCAACTGCTTTTTCTGCATGGTGGACCCTTCCAAACGTCGGACTGGCAAAAAAGCAAGTCAAATCATGTATCCTGACATTCCTTCATCCATGGCTCCAGTTCCACACAGCTCTGACCGCCCCGTTCCTACTCCTCCAGAGAAAGAGCAGGTGTCTTCCTGTGAGAGCCCTGATTCCATGAGTGTGGAAGACAATGAAGGTGAAGGATTTAATTTACTAGCTGATAACAAAAACCCATACTATCCCAACCAAAAGGACATGAATGATTTGATCAGAGATCTTGGTCTAACCAAGTCCGATGCTGAACTTTTGACGTCCAGACTGATGCAGTGGAATTTGCTGGATCCTAGTGTTAAAGTCACATGTCAGAGGAAGCGTCACGAACTTTTGTCGAAATGTCGAAAAACCACCCGCTTCTGATTTACTTTTATGTTTTTGGTTTTCTGAAGATTTAATAAAATTTAGTTTTGATTTATATGTGCTGTTCTGTATGATTTTCTCTGTATTGAAAGACTCAAACACGTTTTTCTCATAATTTTAGCATATTTTAATGAATCACATTGTCCTGGTCACAAAAGCAAGTTTCCGAGGAATATTAGGTGGTTTCCATACTTTTAAGGCATAACAGACTAGGAAATAACAATTACATCCCAAGGACTGAGAAATTTATTTTTTTTGTTACTTAGTGTAATTCATACATAATCGGTCTTTTAAAAAGAAGATAAAACTTGCTAAGAGTAGTTGTGTTTGTTTAAAAAATTATTCAGTAACTCGCCAGCAACTCTCCAGTAGCTTAATTTCGCGAATTCGCTCTCAAAGAAAAAATATTCAAAGACGTACAGCAACGCAAATCCAGTAATAATTATCAAGTTTCATGACCAGCTGATAAATTGGTTCTTTATTCGCAGCAACTTCCTAATAAAACAATATATTTTATATTTAAATTGGTTTTTTAGTCAATTTCAATAATAAAAACCCACAAAACAGTTTCCTTATTCGTTTAAATTGCATCCGGCAAGTTACAAGTAAAAATTTATCCATTAAAAATGCAGTAAAAACTTTGAACTTCAGCTGTTTCGCTCTCTCAATAAGTTTTTGCGTACGAAAACGACAAAACATTAAGATTCGTACCAATTCGTCTGGATATTACTAGAATCGGGTAAACCTAACACAACTATTCTTTATTATCTTTAACGTTGTTTTGGTAAAATAATTCTTTAATACATACTTTTTAAAAATAGTATTCAAAAGGGCGTTAAAATGGTCCTAAAATGTTCCTCTTTTTTACTACATTATATGCATTGCCGAAATGGGGCTACCAAAAAAGTGAGGTTAGGTAACTGACATCACCTTGTTTATTCCACGATGATGTATTCGGTGGTTCTCGTTGTCTAATACCATTTGAATACGATAGTGTTTCTCTCTAAGTCAAACTGCTATTCGTCCCAAACGCTGTGGATTACAGCTTCCTATAGCATAAACACAAGTCTATCTGCGAACGATTGTTTGATTAGTTATAACCTTCAGCTAAACTTCTGGACAATGTTGCTTCCATTTATCGTGTATCGACGTGTTTGGTTGACATTCCGCGTTGAAGAGTATTTCATTATACGACTCCTTGATGTTGCTTCTTTCTGGCTGATGTTAGCGTAACAGCTGCTTTCCTCATTCTTATTTTATGACAGTTAAGGCCGACACAAGACTACATAAGACAATACACCAAGTCTGAAAACACAAACATAGATTGACAGATTGGGCGCGTTCATAAGTCGTAGCTGTTGGGTAACCGTTGGCTGTTTGTCTTAGAAACGCACAGTTGAGTAGTTACGCTCACTCCAACAGTTGGCAACTTTCCGCCATTTTTTCCAGCCGATAATTTTTACGCTACCTGAACTCAACGTGTTGGGCTTAGCCTAAACAGCTGATCGATAAGACTTACGCCGCTTATATTAAATTTAACGCCGCTTTGTTAGGTGGCAGTTGCAAACAAAATTATTATCACCCCTATGCTGTAATCCGAAAGTTCGTAGTTACGAATTCGTAGCTCCGTTCCGAAAATTCGAAAATTGGTATGCTGTAATCCGATCGTAACTATCAACGGCGTTGCCAACTAAAATAGTGAAATTCGAAGTTCTTAATCAGCTGCTTTGGCAGAAACAAATCAAAATAAAAAGAATCGCAAGTGAACAGTGAAATTAAAAAAATTGTTTAATCGTATTTGAAAAAGCTTTTCCTTAATTAAGTAAAATAGAATGGATTCAGTGGCCGGTGCACTTTTGTCTCAGGAGGAAGAACATGCTGCAGTCAACTGTTGCATTAATATACAAAGGAGATTGCTACGAGACAGTTCTGATCCATTTAGCTTAAATGATAAAATGTAAGTTTTATAATTGATTTCACTGATACACATATAAAATAATCGTTTGAATGTTTAAAGATTTGTAAAAAATTTCCGCCTCAACAAAGACGCATTTAAAAGCGTTTTAACAATTATGGAGGAAGAGCTTGGGCGAAGTGTAAAATCATCATCGGTAACTCCTGTAAGTAGATTGATGGCAGTTATGAGGTTTTTCGCTGAAGGAAGCTACCAACACGGTGTTGGGAAAGATTTTGATGTGGGGTTGGCGCAATCAACGTTCTCAAAAACATTGACAAAAACTTTAAACATCTTGGAACGCCGACTGTGCCCAGTATGGATTAAATTGTCAATGACGGAGGAGGAGAATAAACGAGCCAAAATGTGGTTTTACAGGAGAACGCAATTCCCTGGCGTTATTATGTGTGTGGACGGCACACACATTAAAATACTTCCTCCTGCAGACGAACCGTATTTGTACTACAATCGTATGGGATACTACAGCCTAAATGCAATGGTGGTAAGTAAAACCACAAGAGCAAAGTGATTTTGTACGTGCAATTTATCGTAAATTTATTAAATAGATTTGCGATAACAAGATGCAAATAAGGTGCGTTGATGCTCGGTTTCCAGGCAGTAGCCACGACTCACATGTGTGGAATGTAAGCGCTGCGAAAACCTATTTTGAAGAGAGATATCGGCAAGGAGACAAAACAACTTGGATATTAGGTATGTTATAAGTGGAATGAGAGCAAAATGTGTTAAATATAACTAAAAATATTTTGTTTAACAGGCGATGCTGGATATCCATTACAGCCCTGGTTAATTACACCATTCCGTTCTCCTGTGGCAGGAAGTAGAGAAAGCGCCTTCAACAAAACGCACAGTAAAGCGCGCAACATAGTCGAGAGAGTCATCGGCGTTTTGAAAAATAGATTTCGATGCCTGCTAAGTGCTCGCCAACTACATTATTCGCCCCAAAAAGTGGTACAAATAATTAATGTGGTATGCGCATTGCATAACATGTGCATCCACTACAACGTAGAAGATAATACACCTGATATTATGGATGATGAATATCAAGATGTAAATGAAGAGGAAGCGCCATCAGAATTTTCCAGAGAAGCGTCAGACATAAGAATGCGAATTTTGAGATCATTACCTAACTAATGAAAACAATCCCATAACTTTGTACTTCATATTTATTTGATATAAAAAATTTAAAATAAATTCAGTTCTTTACTTAAAACTAAATATACAAAAAAAATCAGTTGTTTTCTTAAATCTAATAGTTTGTACATATATACAGTTATCACAAGCGTAAGTTCATCTCTTAAGTTCAGTTCTTTTCTTAAATCTAATAGGTTTATACATATATCACAAGCGTTAGTTCAGTTCTTTTCTTAAATCTAATAGTTTATACATATATACAAATATCACAAACGTTAGTTCACTTCTTTAGTTCAGTTATATTCTTAAATCTAATAGTCTTAAATCCAATAATCTTTAAATAAAAAAAAATTAAAAAATCAGCAGTTCAGTGCAAAATTAAATTAAATTCAAAAATAAAGAAATCTTAAAAAAAAATGTATTTATTAGTTCATTTTTGCTGGCTTCTTTCTTGTATCCGCAGTAATTTTTCCTGCAAATCAAGCTCCCTTTTTTTAAGGGCCTCCATTTCAATATTGTGCCTCTTTAATTCACGCAATTTTTCCTTCTTCATGTCATGCATGTTTTCTTGTACTTGGTACATGCGTCGCACGTTATCTGCCAGCTCGTTTGCAGACTCAGATTGGCGTTCCAAAAAGGCCAAACTTTTCTGGTAGTAGCTTCGTTGCAAATTTATTTGCTCCTGTACCAAAGTGGCCGTGTCGTTTTTTTTTTACCGGAGGGGAACGCCTCTGCACATTGGCATTGTCTGGCTCAGTTGGCATAGGAATGACTGCCGCAGGTTCCACCACCGGTTGGGTCACCGTCTGTGTTGTTACCACACCAAAAGAGACAGCTCCATTGATCCCCGATGTGGAAGTGTGCAAGCCCGTCAACTCTATCACTTTTTCCTCCAACTCATTGAAATTGTGCATTCTGTTGGGTCCACCACCAGTTGCCCTCGTCTCTGCTTTATTGGCGGAAAGCTTTCTTTTAATGTAGCACTTATAATCGAGCCATACCTAGAAATAGTATTGATATAAGGAAAACAATGATAAATAAATTTTGTGCTCTTAAAATTTTATCCGCACCTTTTTCCAGCTGGATACATCTTTTGTCGGTGGGCCTAAGCTGTTTAGCTGCTGAGCGACGCTTTCCCAAAACTCCACTACATCCTCTTTAGCTCCTTTTGAAAAGCCGCGAGCAATGTCCGGCCTTTCGGTCATGCATTCTACCATTTTTTCGTATTGCGACCGATTTGTTGTGATCTTCGACCTGATAATTTTGTAAATATTTAACAATAATCCATTTTTTTCCAATCACACTTGTAACTTACATATTTTTTCCTTTACACACTTTATTTTATTGATATTTTAAAAGAATTCGCTTCGCTCCGACACCAGTTGCTCTTCGTAGAAAATTTCCGACAAATACATACAAATTACTGCTACGTCGGATTCAGGCATACCAACATTACGAGTTTCGAAGATGGTCTCCGAATTTCGAAATTACGATACGGCAACGCGGATTACAGCATACCAATTTTAAGATTCGTAGCAAAATCGAATCTACGACGGATTACAGCATAGGGTTGTATATTTTATATCACTGACGTGATAAAGTAACTAAAATATTTTATAATAATACTACGTTTCTAAATATATGTTTTTAAGATATTTGCTATATAATTTTACACTGTTTAATTCATTGTAACATTGAACGATTTTTTCAACCCGGCGGCCGCTAAGCGTTGAATTCTAAATAGTATCGGCGCAACTATCTCTATTTGTTGAAATTTCATTTGTTTACATTTATCAGCTGTTGATTTGACAGCATATTCATCAAGCCGTTTCTAAGACGTAATTGTTGGGTTCAACAGTTGCCAGCAGTTTCGCAGCAGATGGGCTAAACAGCTACGTCTTAAGAACGCGACCATTGAATACATTGGTTTAAACGAATGTTATAAGTTGATATATAACTAGTATGTGAAAATAATAGGTTAAGTTTATTTTATCTCACTTGTATAAAACACACAATTTTTTTTTGTATATTTTAATACTTTCTAAGTTAATTTTTTATTTATTTCCTATTTGCGTTTTATTTTTTCATTCAATACCTTTTTTGTTTTTGTCTTCTTTTATATTACCCTTTTTTTATAGTGCTTTATCTAGCCCACTTCTATGTAGAAAGTCGACCAGTTGTTTGTATGTGGCAGGCAGTTTTGAGAGAAGAATCTGTTTGAAATTTGGTAGTTTCGGAAAAGAGAATTACCGTTTTGCAAGTTGTTATATTTGATACAATCAAATATTAGGTGTTCAGGAGTTTCTTTTATGTTGCATGCACTGCAATTGTCTGATCTGTAATGCTGAAATTTCGTTAGATAAGTGCTACTGTACGTGTGTCCAGTTGCGATTCTGTTAAAGAGTTTTATGTCATATGCATCTAAGTCCAAGTTTTTGTTTTTAAACCATGGCTGTTTTTCTTTGGGCGTGCAAAATTCTACTATGTCCGGGTCCCAGTTTGGAAGTTTGTTGGTAAATTCTGTTTTGGCTTCAGTCCACAACATTTTGCTAATCCTTCTCAGTGCTTCACAAGGGGTGAGTTTTGGGAGTAAAGGTTTACCATGGTCAACTGCTGTTTTTGCTGCTATATCCGCTTTTTCATTTATGGTTATACCCACATGGCTAGGTGTCCAGACTATTGCAATGTTTTCTATTTGGGAGTGATAAAGTTTATTATGGATTTCAGCTACTAAGAAATTTTGTGTGGTGCGGCTTTTTAGGGCCTTAATTTCACTCTGACTGTCTGTAAAGATTGCTACTTTTTTACTTTCATTATTAATGGCTATCGTGATTGCTTGAGAAAGTGCTACTAGCTCACCGAAAGTTGATGTGAAGTTTCTCTCTATATTGAACAGGTTGAGACTTTAGCCGTTACCACATAGACTGCACAGCCAATTTTGTTATCTGATACCGATGCATCAGTGGCAAACACTTTGAAACCTTCCTCTTTTAGCGTGTTAATTTTTTGGTTGTAGAGAGCTTTGAGTTGTGTAGGGGTGACGTTCTTTTTGGACTGGGCCAATTCAGATTCGTAACAGGTGAGGTCATGGTGTTTTTTGAAAGCTACATTTGTATCTATGGTGTTGATAATTGCTTTAAATTTTTCGTACGTTATGCTGTAGCTGGAATTTATGGGAGGTCTGTTCTGGATCTGTGTTCTAAGTTCAGGATTGATCAACCACTGTTTGACAAGTTCCTTGGCCGTAAGCCATACAGCTCTGGGAAGAGGTGGAAGTTCACAAGCCAGCGCGTATCTCATGAGTTTTGGAGTGTTTGGAGGAACTCCGAGGGATCTCCTCAAGGTTTCATTTACACTGGTTTGTAGCTGTTTGTTATACCCTTTATGGGCATTGGCGTAACTGGTGTTGGCATATTCTGCTTTGGATCGTACAAACGTTTTAAAAAGATTTATAGAAGTTTTAGGTGAAATACCTGACTTGGTAGATGCCAATTTAGAAATGAGGTTTTTACCTGTAGTTGTTGCTCTTTTAATATCACTAATATGTACCTTAATGGTTGAGTTCGTGCTGATTGTTCTTCCCAGCCATTTGAAGTGATGGACTTGTTCAATGTTTAGGCCGTTGATGGATACGCTAAAGGTTTGTTTATTGTTTGCAGACATATACATGAATTTTGTTTTGTTCAGTCTAAATTTGAGATTTAAGCTGTCGCATTTTGCCTGTAATTCTTCTATTTTGTTTTGTAAATTTTGAGCTGCAGAGAATCTGTTTGTGCTAGTGAATATTAACGCAAGATCGTCGGCAAACTGAAATAGTTGAGTCTGAGAGTTATTAATTTCGTGCAGTTGGGCTGTATAAATATTGAATAGCGTTGGGGATAGGCAGCTACCTTGAGGTAGGCCAGAGTTTATCTCAACAGTGTGATTACCTAGGGTCAGATGTCTTTTAGAAAAGTAGTTGATAATCCAGTTTGCAATTGTTGGGTCATGTTGCATTGTAGATTTATNTTAGCATGTTCCCGTACTTCACGATAGCTGTTTTCGCCTTTAATAAACCTTATGTGAACGTGGCGTACGGGAACGACTTTGGACTAAATCCTGCAAAACCTGCAAATCGTAGACGTTCTAGAACGCACTATATGTTGTTGTTGTTGTAGCAACAATGGCACTATTGNTTGCAATTGTTGGGTCATGTTGCATTGTAGATTTATGAATATTATGAAGTGAAACAAGATCTACTCTATTATAGGCGTCCGACATATCTAAGAAACAGTTCATAACATATTCCCAGCATTTCTTTCTTTCAGCTATAAGATGTAAAAATATTAAGTAGCATTCGCCTAAAAGCAAAAATTATAGTTACATAAGTTATTTTGACAAAAATTCATAGATATGTGATCAGTGTTGCCACGNAAACTACCAAAATTTTTTTTGAGATTTTTAATAATTTTTTCCAATTTAAAATTTATTAAAAATATAGATAAGACTAACTTTTACCCGCGGCTTTCACCACACATCTTTATACAAACATGAAAAATACTTTATGTAAAGATATCATACTCTCTTTCTGCTCTAATTTTACTATAGCCGTGATAGCAACATATGGTAGGACATGGAATAATTTTTTGGCACTGCCGGTATTTTCATTTAGGTCAAAATGTCTCCAATAAATTATATAATAAAAGAAGTACACTGGCACTGCCGGTCTTTTCATTTAGGTCAAAATATCTCCAATAAATTATATAATAAAAGAAGTACAATCTAATTTCTAATATGATTTCACAGCATTTTTTTATACTTCAAACATAACTTAAATGCATTTTCCAATACAATTATCATACATTTTATTTTCGATAAAGTTTCGGGTTTTACTTTAAGGCATTCTTGTTAATTGTCATTGCAAAAGCTAAGCGAACTGTAAACTGAGGTCTTTTAAATTCGAGAGNTTCTCTTTAAGAAGTTAGGCACTGTGGAGGGCGCCATGTTTAAAATTTTGGATGAAAAAGACAATCGTTCCCCAAAGTGTATCAGCCTGCTATTTATGATACGTGCCAGTCACATAGAA